TATATATATATATAAGTAGAACCTGAGAGGTTTTGGAAACTCCCTGTACAATTATCATAAAAGACAAACTCCAAAAAGAATTCCTAAACTAAAGATGGCTTTGTTATATACATTGTAAACCTCTACAAAGCCTTACAGTGTAAGCCTTTGAAGGTGTTACAAAAGGTGTTAATGCTCTTTATTAACTTGTTGAAAAGGCTTTTGTCTGACAGCAGTTGAAGAGAAATTGCTTCAACAGTAATAAATGTGAAAAGCCCCCCTGGTCGATACGCTTCTACGATGTATTGCTGGATCAGGTCATTTTGACAAAGGGGCCCTCTGGCTGTCACGCATAAAAGGGAGAATTGCCAGCAAGTATACAAGCAGTTCCGCTCCAACAGCAGCAACAGCATCACCAACAACCAGCTAAGATGACCTCCAGTGGCATGAACACGATGAGCAGGATCATCTTCTACGAGGACAGGAACTTCCAGGGCCGCTCCTATGAGTGCATGAGCGACTGCCCAGACATGTCCTCCTATCTGAGCCGCTGTCACTCGTGTAAGGTGGAGAGGGGCTGCTTCATGGTCTATGATCGCCCCAACTACATGGGAAACCAGTACTTCATGAGGAGGGGCGAGTATTCTGATTACATGAGCATGTTTGGCATGAGTGATTGCATCAGGTCCTGCCGTATGATCCCCATGTACAGAGGATCCTACAGGATGAGGATCTACGAAAGGGAGAACTTCCAGGGCCAGATGCATGAGCTGATGGAGGACTGTGACAGCATCATGGACCGCTTCAGAATGTCCAACTTCATGTCCTGCAATGTGATGGATGGCCACTGGCTTATGTATGAGCAGCCCAACTTCAGAGGAAGGATGTGGTACATGAAGCCTGGAGAGTACAGGAACTTCATGAGCATGGGCATGAGTGGAATGAGATTCATGAGTATGAGGCGCATCATGGACTCCTGCTACTAGATAATGACTCAACATAATGCAACAAAAATTCTGACACAAGCTATAGAGAGAAAGCAAATGACTGGACCATGTGATGTTGAGAGCAGCACATTGATAAAAACATTGCTTATATTCTGCATTGGTCAAGACCACAAGACAAGCAATAAAAACTAATTGCCTTATCTGCTTTAGTAAATGTCTCTTTTTCTCAATTTTGTCTTTTTTATTTAACTCTTAGGCTTTTCCTGTTATTTAGATTAGGCTACTTGTGGCACTGACACTGGAAGTGAGGTCTGCAGCTAGGAAAATAAATGAGCAATTGGGTATGAGATAGAATAATTTCAAAATATTATTGATTTTAGTCATCTATTTTAATATTTTAATGTGCAAGAGATGTCCCAATTAGGTTTGTGACTGATTTTAATCTGTTTATGCAATATATTTATTAAAGACCTAGTATTCCTTAAAAGAATGCATACCGCCCACCACCGTTCATGCCAAAGTTTTGAACTAAGATAATTTTATGATGAGAAATGATCGCGTTGTAGCTGTTTTGGTCAAAAACGTAAATGTAAACGATGTTATGCACAATCTCATGTGATGTAAAAAATCTTCCAAAATGTGTTAGTGCTCAATTTATGCACTGGGGTTGACTCCCAGCTACTAGAATACCTGATTTTAGCTCAGCATCTGTAAAGTTGACAGTATTTTAACCCTTTTTGTTTTGGTTATTGCCAATTAGTTTGATTGCTTTCCTAAACTGAGGCCGATGTACACCCAATGATTATACTTTTTGAGTTTTATTAAAATCAACCCAGTGATACACAAGATATTTTGCTAACAGACAGTGGGTTATGCCAACCATTAATGACAAGGTTTTAATCAAATATCTTGCATAATGTGTAATGCTTGGAGTATGTGTTGCTGATAATGTTCAGCTACTACCACACTATGCTTAATATCTGTAAAATTGAATGTTACAGAGACTTTTATGTTTGCTGAGGCAGGTTGGCTGTGGCAGCCATCTTGAATTGGATTAAGCAAATCAGTAGAAAAAAAGAATTGTTAGTAAATAAGTTGAGTTTAGATCATCCATCCATCATCCACCCATCCATCCATCCATCCATGCATCCATCCATCCATCCATCCATCCATCCATCCATCCATCCATACTTTCCTTATCTTTTTTCATTTATTCAATCTTTATTTAGACAGATAAATCATATTGAGCCTCGAAAACTCTTTTACAAGTGAGATCTGTGATCTTTTGCTTGTTCCGAAGTCAGGTCGCGGGGGCAGCAGTTTGAGGAGAGGCCCAGACATTTCTCTCCACAGCTACATCTTCTAGCTATTCTGGGAGGACTCCAAGGAATTCCCAGGCCAACCGAGAGACATAGTCTCTCCAGTTTGCCCTAGGTCTTCCCCGGGGTCTCCTCCCAGTCAGGCATGCCTGAAGCACCTCCCTAGGGAGGTGCCCATGGAGCATCCTTACCAGATGCCACCTCAACTGGCTCCTCTCAATGTAGAAGAGTACCGGTTACAATCCAAGTCTCTCCCGGATAACTGAAATTATCACACTGTCTCTATGGGAGAGTCCTCTGAAGTGCTGTTTGGCAGGTAGGCACCAAAAAACCCATCAGAGCTCATCCCCCACCTGAAGGCACAAGGAAGATACCCTCTGGGGAAAACTCCAATACAAAGGTGCTGAGTTGGGGTCTAAGAATAGACCCACACCATCTCAGTGCTTCTCACAATGGGCAACTTCAGAGTGGAATAAGGTCCAGCCCCTCTCAAGGAAATTGGTTCTGGAGCCCATGACAATGGTGTAGTCTATGTGATACGCGGGTATATGGAATATACCCACTAGAAAATCTTGAGAATTTCAGTATACCCAATTAAAAGTCCCCAATGATACATAAGAAATCATTGAGCATGTGTCATTGATAAGTTAAATTCTTTCATTCATTCAACCTTTATTTAGACAGGTAAATCCCATTCAGCCTCGAGGACTCATTTACAAGAAAGACCTGATTTCAACAAAGAATGATGACAACAATGGACAACAGCAACAACAACAAACAGCCACAAAAAGTAATACAGATTTTTTTTTAAAACAAATAGGATGGCTAAAAAAAGAAAAGCAACATAAAAAAAGCTAGATTCTAAGGCGAATGTAGAAAACTAAAAACAGGAACATGTCTGCATTGGTCCCTGCCAGGAGTCCAACAGATTATTAAAGCCACTTAGAGAGGTCAAGGTCGAGAGGTTCAGATCTTTTTGTAAGATATTCCAGGAAACAGGAGCAGAGTAGGAGAAGGCCCTTTTGCCTAGTTCAGTTCTCAATGAGGGAACACTGCAGGTAATAAAGTCCTGAGAGTGCACGCTGTAGCTGCACTCACGCAGAGACATGTAGGAGGAGATGTATGAAGGCAGCAGACCAAGAAGTGATTTAAAGATGAAAATGTACCAGTGAGAGAGTCTGCGTGAAGTTAATGATGTCCAATTAACCAATGAATACAGGGTAGAGTGGTGGGTACGATAATCACAACCAGTTATGAATCTTAGTGCACCATGATAGACAGCATCCAACATCTGCAGGGTTCTTGTAGGAGCGTTTATGTAAATAATGTCACCGTAATCAATGGAGGGAAGGAAGGTCACAGAAACAAGGCGTTTCCTAGCATTCAGGTTTAGACAGGATCTGTTTCAGAGTCAGAGTCAGAGTTTCTTTGTCATTCGCACCTCATGTGGTACATGTGGTGGAGCGAAATTATGTACACAGGGTCCCAGTTACATCCAACAATAAAATGTAAAAGAAAAACAGTAAAAACATCTAAAATATGAACTAAGAAAAACATCAACTAAATATACACCAAGCACTCATAACATAAAACGTTACGTCGAACATCAGCACAAACATGAACATGAGTCCGTGTGAGTAGATGAGCACGCATGAACACATCAACATTGAAACAGATCAGCAGCAACATGAAACAGATCAGCAGAAACATGATGTGATTTTTTTTTCACAGTGATTATTCTGGTTAGAGATTCATGAGTCTAACAGTCTCAGGGTAGAAGCTGTTACACAGTCTAGTGGTTCTACACTTAATGCTCCTCAACCTCCTTCCTGAGGGGAGTGGGACAAAAAGTGTGTGTGCTGGGTGAGTGGGGTCCTTCATGATGCAGGTGGCCCTCTTCCTGCATCTGGAGGTGTAGATGTCTGTGATGGTGACTGTCTGACTCCGGCAGACTTTTGTGCAGCCTTCACCACTCTCTGCAAAGCTTCTCTTTCTGCAGCTGTGCAGCCTCCATGCCACACGCTGATGCTGGAGCACAGGATGCTCTCCACTGCACACCTGTAGAAGGAGGTGAAGACTGAGCTTCTCAGACCAGCTCGTCTCAACCGTCTGAGGAAGTAGAGTCTCTGATGAGCTTTCTTGATCAGGCTGGTGGTGTTGTTGCTCCAGCTGAGGTTGTCATTCATGTGTACACCCAAGTACCTCTAGCTGGAGACCACTTCCACCACATATCCTCTTATGTTCAGGGGGATGTAGGTGTTTTTGTTCCTTCTGAAGCCCACAATCATCTCCTTTGTCAAAAAATGTTAAGGTTATTCTCTTTGCACCAGCTCTCCAGGAGTTCCACCTCCTGCCTGTAGCTGGACTCATCATTGTTTGTGATGCATCCCACCACTGCTGTATCATCTGCAAACTTTACAATGTGACAGCATGGCAGTGGTGGAGAAAGTACTCAAACACTGTACTTAATAAAAGTACAAATAAACAGACAAAAATGTACTCTAGTAAAAGTAGAAGTACCACATTAACCTTTTTACTTAAGTAAAAGTAAATAAGTACTTGCTTTTAAAATACTTAAAGTATTAAATGTAAAAGCACTTGCTGTATGTATTAACTAATGCAATGATCTACATATCTTTAAGTGTACCTACCATATGTATATTTTCTGTAATACATTAATAGTGTTGTTCCATTTTAATGAAGAATACTGCAGATAATACATGTTTTTATTGTGTTTACTCTGTGAGACAATTCACACTTGGACTTGTGATTCTGTGCGTCAGAATTTCAGGGATGACGTGCAGAGTTAAAATTCATTAATCAAAACAAGAAAGAGGAATGATTATACCTTTGAAAGTTTTTATTTAACACAAACCAGTGTGTCATTTTAACTGCAGTAAACACATTTAAGTAAATCTAAAAAAAGTTAAATCTGGTCCTCTGGACATTCAAAAAAAAACAAAACAAAGCAAAACAACAAAAAAATGTAGAAACGTTTCGTCTCTCATCCGAGAGACTTCCTCAGTCTGAGGTGCTGTATTCAGCTCAGTCTCTTAAATAGCACCTTCTCAGAGTGGATCAACCAGTTTTGCTGCTGACAACCAAAACCAGCTGCTCACATGCTCAAGAAGGACCATCAGCCTAACAATGGATCATTAACACACTGATGGCTGTTTACTATTCACAGACGGCTGAGTGATACTAGCAATCACAGCATTGTAAGAGGGGGACAATTGAACACGTAGGCCTCCACCCCTGTTTAACGATGGACGGTTTCTTTTCACAAAGATGGCCTCCTTTACTCCTCTCTCAAACCATCGTTCCTCTCTATCCAGGATGTGCACATCTTCATCCCTGAAAGAGTGACCGCTGGCCTGGAGATGAGTGTAGACCGCAGAGTCCTGGCCTGATGATGTTGATCTTCTGTGCTGGGCCATCCTTTTGGCCAGTGGCTGTTTTGTTTCCCCGATGTAATACTGATCACAGCCCTCCTGACACTGAACAGCATACACAACATTACTCTGTTTGTGCCGGGGGACTGGATCTTTGGGATTGTTGGATTTCATATTTTTATACCTTTTTATATTTCCTATCAAGCATTCAAATGTCATGTTATACAAAGTGTGTGTGTGTCTTTCTTCAAGGGTTGGACTATATTTATAGAAAATGTTTACTAATTCTAACTATTTTACCTTTACATATAATCTTATATTAGCTAATGATAATTTTACAAGTTCACATTTGATATATTACAAGCAATCAAATCAGGCCAGATAGCAGACTGATTAACATAAATAAAGCTAGAACACATTTCTTTATTTAGACTTAATATAGTTTGACTAAATAAAATCCCTCAGGTTCTCTCTTAATAATAACAATTA